ATGGCCTCAAACTGCTAACGACGCGCTAGAGCTCAAAACGACCGGTTGGGTCCTTACAGAAAGAAACAATTTGATGAGACTGTTGATAATGAAATCCCAAAATCTCTCTAAGAGTCTTTTAGAATTGATTACTTTTTAAATATAGTAGACAAAGCCATTTTTTCACTTCGAAATAGATTTAAACAATTCGAAGTATATGAAAATATTTTTGATTTTCTATTTAGCTGTAAAAAATTGAGATCGCTAGATGATGGAAATTTAAAAAAATATTTCCTTAATATTGAATGTTCCTTAAAGCATAATAATCAATTTAATATTGATGATTTAGATTTATTTTCTGAATTAAAAGTGTTAAGAAACATAGTACAATTAGAAGATAATAGTTTAATTTATATACTCAATCAAATAAAAAGATTTGATTCTTTTTGAAATGCCCATATTGCTTATAGAATAATATTAATAATTCCTATTGTTGTTGCTTTAGCGGAAAGAAGTTTTTCAAAATTAAAGCTGATAAATTTTACCTAAGGTTAAATGGATTAGCTATATTGTCAATTGAGAAAGACTTATTATGAGAAATTGATTATAAGAAAATTATTAATAACTTTGCATCAAAAAAATCTAGAAAAATAGACTTAAAATTAAAAAAACATTATTAACAAAAAAAAGTTATGGCCCCTCATAAAGTTTGGCTTTAAGAAACAAAATTTGTCAGGCCACGCCTATTTGTATAGGAATTGTCTAATAATTATAAGGGTATACATAAAAGTATTTCTAAAGATATGGGACCGTCAAAATAAAATTTACAAGTCATTTTCTAATGAAATTAAAGGAAAGTGGGAAGATTTCATAAGACTCTGCTTGGCAAACGAGTAGATCATTTCCCTACGGTACTACACTCCACTATCAGTCACACATGAGTATTATTTAGCCTTACAAGGGTGTTCTTACTAATTCATACGGAATTCCATGTGCCCCATGCTACTGGGGTCATAGCATAAGTTAGTAATGCTTTCAGCTACTAGACTTGCGCTATCTAGGGTGCAACGTTCGAGCTACTTCGTGTAGCTGCACAATACAGTCAAACCTCTATATAACAGTCGTATTTGTTCCGATATTTTTTGGATGCTATAGTGAAGTGTTGTTATAGAAGACATATATTATTACATAACATACAAAATCGTGTCCAAAAAATTTGGCTTTTATAATGAATAACTCTTAGGAAAATTTTCGTTCTTATACCATATAGGAAACTATATTACCAAATATATTCATAGTTTGCATATTACCCGCCATGCTAATGGTATTTCTACAAAATATAGACAATTCATTAAATAAGGAATCATTGTAGTTGTAGGCTTCCTTATTTAGGCGCGCTAATATTGGAAAATTAAATATTCTTCCAGATATTTTATAACGCAAATCACGCATTAATAATTATCGGCTGTTTTGAATCAAAATTTAGCAACTCTGTTTTTGCGATACACTATGTTTAACATTTTTTCTGGTCTCACAAATCAAAAACGACTAAAACTTCTACAATTCTTCTACAACAAACGCAATTATGTCCAAAATCCCAATTATGCTACAACTGGATGGGAATTAGGATAGCAATGGGAGATTTAAAGAATTTCAGGTCGATGGCATTATAGTCGATGAGAATGCGAGTTATAGTCTATTGATTTCTACAATAGCACAGCAATTAATGATCGATACATCCGAAAAAATTATAAAAATCAAATACATTGTCAACGAGCATTGTCCTCCAATAGAAATTAGGAACGATATGGGTGTTCGTGTATACATGGAGATAAAAAAGGAAAACAAAAACTTAGGATCATATCCACTATGTATAACTGTTCGCAATCTCAATATAGAATTGAGTATCACCAATGAGAACACAGTTGCAGGTTTGTGCTGTTACATTTTCTATCAAATTCNAGTTCGTCTAGAACACTAAAGTTACTTGATATGTCAACATCTCCCGTTATAGAAGAATATGAAAGTATAATAATAATAGATAGTACACCAAGTTTTATTGAAGTAGGACAAGTATACCAAGACAAGCAAACAATTGCAACTGTAATGAAGCATCATTCTGTCATGCAAAAGTTCCAATTCAGGGTTAAAATATCTAGTGCTAGAAGGTATGAACATATGAATGGTCAAAGATAATTATTTTTTTAATTTTGTAGTTTATTTGTAATTTTTTACTTCTTCAGTTTTTCCTTGTGATAATGTTTATCAGTATTGTAGATGAATTGTAGTTATGTTGCATATAAATTGTATAATGTGATCGTTTAAGCTAAAACAATCTTTTTTTTTAAATCTACATTTTAAACTAGTGTTTAAATTATATTTATTTTGTAGCTACTGGCTATTATGTGTTGGTGAAAATTATACATGGCACTTCAAGTCAACTAGCATAAATGATTCTGCAATATTCAAGGTCAAAAATTTCAACAGCCAGCACGCATGCTCTTTAATGGACAATACATTCATACAACGCAAACCTACTGCCATGGTAGTTGGTAGCATGGTTGTTCCAAAATATTATGATCCTAAGATAATTTACACACCAAAAGATATACAAACTGACACGTTGTCTGAACACGGGGTGAATCTAACCTACATGCAAGCTTGGAGAGCAAAAGAAAAGACTTTACAATTTTTGAGAGGTCATCTTACTGACTCCTATAGCAAATTGCCTAGTTATTTGTATATTCTGGATAAGACTTATCTGGGGTCTGTAGTTAAATTGAAGAAGACGGACGATGACTGCTTCTTGTATGTATTTGTTGCGATTTGTACATCAATCAGTGGTTGAGAATATCGTAGGCCAGTTGTAGTAATTGATGGGACCTTCTTAAAGTCAGCATATAGGGGAATAATTCTAACAGCTAGTATAATGGATGCAGCAGGTATTGAAGTTTTATTGTAGAAATATTGTAGCTTGTTTGTTTTTTGTAGTACTTGTAGATTTATTGTAGATATATTGTAGAAAAGTTGTAGTTTGTATGTATATATCTTCTTCTGCATTTTTCCTGCAGCTAATTAATTGTTTTTTGCCTCATAATGTAGGTACCATATTACCATTGGCATATGATGTTGTTGATTCAGAAAATGACACATCATGGAAGTGATTTTTTGAGCAATTCAAACACATATATGGTGAAAGACCAAATATGTGTGTTGTTTCGGATCGGAATGAAAGTATTTTGAAGGCAACATCCATTATTTGTCCCGGCATGCCACATTATTCTTGCATGTGGCATATTTGGAAAAATATAAGGGCAAAGTTCAAGAAGGGACATCTAAAGTTAAGCGAATTGTACTTTGTCACGGCACGATCATACACGCTTGATGAATTTAATGAAAGGATGTCAAAGATTAAAGAGATTGACTCGCGTGTTAAAGCATACTTATACGATATTGGCTATCATAGATGGTCTCGAGTACATGCTACGGTGAACAGAACTCGGACTATGACATCAAACATTGCAGAATCATTGAATGCTGTAACAAAATATGGAAAAGAGCTGCCGATAGTAAAACTATTAGAGTATATAAGGACTCTTCTTGAACGTTGGACGAAGGAAAAGTTATTGAAATTAAAGGGTACATTCACATACCTTGGGTTTAAATTCAACAAAGAGTTGGATGACAACAGAACATTGTCGCATAAGCTTAGAGTAAGATCTGATCATTCATTGCATCAAATTAATTTATACAGGACAATGTAGATAATTTGTAGATATTTGTATTTAACCGTCTATGAATTGCTTTTCTATTTGTAATGTAGTTTTAGGTGAGGGCTTCAACAGACTACATCCATATAGTACTAGATGGTGTGAGGGGCTATATTTTTTGTCTTGAAAACAAGAGATGTAGTTGTCTTGTCCACATACTTTGGCTGCTTTAAGACACAGGGATGAGTCTTTTCAACAATATTATTCTCCTTATTACATAAGGGATAACCTCTTGCGTACTTATGAAATACCAGTAAATCCCCTGCATGATGAAAGTAAATGGAATGTGCGATAACATATATCTGAAGAAGTAGTAAATCCACCTACAGGAAGGAAAAGGCAGTCAAGAAGACCTCAAAATGAAAGATATAAAACATATGATGAAATAAATTCAAAGAAGTGCAAGGTTTCATATGGCAACTGCAGAGGAGAAGGGCATAACAAAAGATCTTGCAAGAATTCACGCAAAAAGAAATAAAATTTTATGTAGTTAACGGAATATTTCATAAAAATTGTTGGTGAGTTCAGGATAACAGAATTTGATGTGTAATTGTTGAGGTTTTTTAAGATCATAATGTAGTTAGATAGGATTTTTCTGTATTGAGATAATACTTTCATAGAGTGATTTATTTATGAATGGTTTATATATATATAATCTACCACTTTTTTACTATCTCTAGCATCCTTTACATAGTTGTTAATGTTTTTTTGCAATTTATCTACAATACAACTACAAAAAGATTACATTAACTGGAATTTACAGAGTAACTACATTATAAATCAGTAGGAAAAGAGTTATATACTAAAATATTGTAGATCAAGTACTGTTTACGTTCAACAAATGAATATAAAAGCAACAAAACACATTGTTAAATATTTTCTGCAAATTATCTACAAAGTCAACTACAAAAAAACTACAATAGCTGGAGCTGACATAATAACTAGATTATAATTTAGCTAGAAAGAAGTTATATGCTAAAAATAATATAGATCAGGTACTGAATTGAATGTAAAAGAAACAAAATGTTTAGTTACTGATTTTTACACTTTATCTACAGAAAAACAACAAAATAACTACATATTTTTGCGTTGACAGAATAACTGTATAAAAATTCAGTTGGAAAGGATTTATATGCTAAAATAATGAAGATCAAGTACTGTAAACATTCACCAAGTGAATATAAAACAAACAAAATATTTCCAATTGAACTACTACTATACTAAATAAGAAAAAAAACAAAGGCTACTATAATTGTAGCGCAAGTCTGCTACAATTAAAACACAACAATATTGTTCAAAAACTTGTCTACCATCTTTCTTCTAAACTAGCATCAACTAAATAATTGTACTACATGTTCCATACAAAACATTACAACTACTTCTTCTTCCTCTGGACTCGTGTTTTCTCATTCAAAGCTGGTGCACCTTTTCTCCTTGCCAATTTGCCTGTCACCTCACTTTCACTAATTGCCCCATGCTCCTGCTTCTTTCTAGCATAGTCCCAAAGTAGTGCTCCATAGCATCTACGATGTTGGTCAATATCAGAAAGGTCTTCTGCCGGAATTGATAACTCTCCAAGACTAACATACTCTGCAAAGGCAGCAACAAATACACCACAATCGCTGCAAAGATAAAAAAAATGTCAATATTTACCAAACGATTAGAAAAAAAAGGGTTAAATGTATAGAAAGAAAGAAGATTTTTGTTACAGTGATCCTTTTTTTTGTTGTGGTATCTATCCAACGATCCACTGAATGTTAAGAGGGTCGGTAACAGCTTTCTCAATGTATGCATTTGTATTCTTGAGTTGATGTCTTTACGCTTCCCATAAAAATCGGTGCATGACAAATACAAAGGGATAATAACAGAAAACTTGTCGACACAAGATTCAACAATAGGGTGATTGCGTGAAGAGACCATGGAATCATACGCATAAAGTTGCCTGTCTACAATGTCAAAAATAACAAACACCCAGTGAAATTTTTCTACAATGTTTACGGGCATGATGACATAATCAACTTCATCCCATGCAACATTTACGAGTAGACTATACCCCAATATATATTCTGTTACAACGTCCTGGGGTTTGACAACAGAAAAATTCTTTTCTTGAGGAGAATTTTAGAACATTTCATAAATTTGATCAATCCTAGTCTTGAACAAACAATTTGTTGTAGTAAACCTGGTATTGTTGTGGGGGCCATACTTGCCTCTTTTCCTTAAGTAATACATTATAACACTAATGTGCTGCAACAAAAACAGATTACATTTATACTACAAGTTATCTTCAAATAATCTACACAAAACTACAAAATAACTATAATTACATTACAAACAGAAAACAAAGCATCTATAATCAGAATACAAACTATCTACAAAATACCTACAAATCAAATATATTGAATCTTACCGAGTCATTGAGGACTTGTCCGGAGTGTGCCAGGGAAAAGAACCACTCCTTCTTGTCAACCTTTTCCACTCCAAGATCAAACCATGTCTTAATTTGGTTGTCCTTTATAGAATACAGAGCCTTCCTCCTATATAAACAAATAGAAATTAAAATAAAATTGTTGAATGAAGTGGATGTGTAAAAGATGAATACTGGAATAAAAGTGTCAAATTGTGCAAACTAACCTCTTTGAATCTGTGTCGGTACCGTAGTATAACCACTTGTTGAATTGATGCAACAACTCAGGATCTACATTTTGACCAATAACGCTAGTAAATGGCTGCTTGAGGTGAAAAATTTGAGGTCCAACCGAGGTGCCGCCACCAGAACTGTATAAAGGGAGAAATGGCGATCGGGCATGCTTTCCCGGCTACCTTGTTCTATCTTGATGCACGAGTGTTGTTTCATCTTGTATAGGCTCGTCGAACTTAACCAATTGGGATAAATTATCGGGCAGCTCAAAATCATCAAGTGTAACCTCCTTCTTCTCACCTCCGGAGTCTTCTGAATCACCTACATTCACATACTCTACCTCTTCACCTACATTGTCATCTTCCTCATTCTGTTTTTCTCTTTGAGTTGCTACTGTCACTCCGTGAATTGGAGATTTTGCATGCATATCTTCCCTCTCTGTAACACCATGTATATCTAGCTTAATAGAATTGTAAAAATATTGAAGCATAAAGCAAATATCTCTGAATATAATTTCATACATGCATTCTCTTCATCAACTGCACCTTCAAAATGTGTATATAAATCAACACGTGCTGGATGATTTTCTTCACCAAGTGCATCTTCAACATGTTCTGTTTTTTTCATTAAAAATGTTAAATCATAGTGGATAGTAGTGGCTTGACAGTTTAAGAGATATGTAGGTGTGTTATAAACATAAATCTGTAGAGTTGTGCCAATAAGTTGTATTTATTTGTATATAATTTGTATATATAATGTAGACAAATTGTAGATATTTGGTAGATAACTTGTATATATTCTGTTAGATAATTGTAGATAAAGTGGAGTTATTTTGTAGATACTTGTTTTGCTGGTGCTGACATGCACTGGTTCTCCACTAGTGAACTGAAATTGCTGATTTTTCTTGTCTTTTGGTTTGTTAGTATTTTTGGTTGAACTCCCAGCAAACTGAAAGTTTTATATTAGATAGGATATATATTTTAGAGGTGACATAAATAGTTTTGTTAATATGAATAAAATTCAAATGTTACCTTTGCATCAACCTGATTATTTCGACTGTTTATCACCTGCAAAATAGTCTTGACTGACTCATTTATTAGCACTCGAAGGCTACCTAGTTCTTCAAAGACATTTCAACTTTCTTACTTTACGAAGAATAGACTCCTTGTCCTCTTTTCCAATTAATTCTTTTGGTTCCAATGGAGGAGCATCAACTTTGGGATCCTCAGAAACATGTTCAACCTCTTCAATTATATGCTCAACTTTATCAGGCAAAGACATCACTGAAAGCTCTTCAGGTGATTCATTTATGTTGGTGAACTGAATAAGAAAAAAATTAGCTTGATTAAGGCAGAATATGTAGACAAATTGTATATATTTTGTAGGTAAATTGTATAATCATAAATAAAAACCATTTACTTTCATCCATTCAGGCTTGATCATTTTGTCTTCAATTGCAGCTAACCAAATCTGACCTTTACTAGCTGACCAGTTAAGTATGCGAGGGATTGAATTAGAAATCCTTGTAGCTATATCAGTGTTGACGGAGGAGCAACACGCATACAACCATACTTGCATGGCTAGTGGGAACTCTCGAATGAGATAAGAATGAACGAAAGGATTTAGCCTGTGCCTAACTAATTCAATCAATTGTCTGTAAGACTGAATACCCTATGGAAATGTCTCGTACTGATTGGATTCTACCAAATAAAACATAAAATGATCTACCAACCCAATATGGTCTTTCTCTGAAGGACAAATGAAGAATTCTATGAGATATAGAATACATAACTTTACTGCATCCTCATCATTTACCCAACTTTTATTGATTACAATCTGTTTTAGGTATGTCTTCTCCACTTTTACCTTATTTGGAAAGTAACTGCTCATTATCTTACTGACATAATTCGTAGTGTAACCAAACTTTGTCACCTGGGTATGACATCTAAGACCAGTTATTAATGCAAACTCTCTCAATCCAAAATTTAACCTCTCACCTTTTAACTCAGCTGAAAAATAGGAAGCATCGGATGAATTAAATTCATACTTCATAAAAAGATGAATAGCTTGATTTTGCATGCATAAATTGGGAAATGACAGTAAATAACCAAAGCATGTCTTCTCGAATAGCTTCAAACCATTTGGAGATAAAAGCTCTTTAATTTATCTAGGAATGCTAGGGTCACATAATGTCTGGAATCTAAGCACCCCATAATCAACATTATGAGATACAAAAAAATGTTCATTCTTCACAAAATATAAATAATCTCACATTAATACATTGCTTAAAAAATATAGATACATTTGTAATTTATCTACAAAATAACTGCAAACAATATACAAAATATTAATAATTTTAAACAGATCAATAAAACTACAATTAATCTTCAAAATGAAGACAAATAATCTCACATTAATTCAGTACTTATAAAACATAGATACATTTGCAATTTATATACAAAATAACTACAAAATATCTACAACACAGAAAAAACATAGATTATGTAGATTTTTAACAATTAAAAGAAACAAAATAACTAGTGAAGAAATTACTAAAATCTTGCCTTCACCAATGACTGTTTTCGAACATTTTTAGGATATTTAACACTAGGGGCTCTACAAAATCATCGTCGAACACTATCTCTTTTCCTTTCCTTTTCGCTTGTTTGATTGGCCTCGAAGATTCTCCAGCATTGAAATCATGTTTTTGTTTAGTTCTAGCTTTAGCCCTGATTTGACGCGGATAAAGACTATGCTTCTTAACTACAATTGCATGTGCAGACTTTTCATGCTTTTTGGGTGAATGAGGTGATAATACACCCAAATCGAAAGAAGGTATATCAGCTTCTCTAGCTTTTTTAGGGCTGTGCTTTGAAGGTTTGTTCTTCTTCATTGAGAAAATTTGAAGATGAAGGTAAATGTGTTTATGAACTTTAAAGAATTGACTTCAATTTTGACTGGTTGTAGAAAAAAATTTTGAAATTGGAAGTTAATGGTGGGGGTTACATATGTTTCTCTGGTTTTAGCAGAGGAAATAATGGGAAAGAAACGTAGGTGTGGGGTAATACGTGGGTGAGAGTGTGGGTTTGGGAGAGAGAAACGCGGGGGGGGGGGGGGGGGGGGGGGGGAGGATTTGGAGGAATGTACGATACCATTAATTTAGGAGGGAAATACGGTACCATTAATGTACGGTTAAAACACATAATGATATATAATTGGTAATTAGGTATACTAAATGTAATTATATCAAAGTTTAAACATTGAGGGTAATATAGTTTACTATATGACATATGAATGTAAAAATTCCTAACTCTTATATATGAATTTTATTATAGAGAGGTCTGACTTTACTTGTATTACTTTCCCACAATCTCGTTTTTACGTTTTTAGGCTGCGCTATGCCAAGTATAAACTAAAAATATAGATGTAGGGGTGCAAAGTGTTGTATTGGGCCGTAAATTTTGAAAAGCACCAATATTAACTAGAGGCCTGACCTGTATAAGGCTGTAATTTTCTCAAACTAAATGTTGGGCCTTTCAACAACTGGTTATTATGTTGGGCTTTTTTTATTTTTAGCCCGTGTCAGAAACTATTTATGTTTGGTAGTCAAAAAAGTGTATAAAATTTCTTTAATTTTTGTATATAATATACAGAATATATAAATATACAAAATATATATAAAAAATAATATTTTTCGGCTATTATTTTAAGAGCGATTATAGAGTGTCAATAGAGTTAAGTGTGGAAGTGGGACTATGGGCTCTCAACAACATGTTAGGTACTATATCATAACTTAACGAGGAAACTAACTTCCTTCTTTCACTTCAGCTATTCAGTATTCAAAATTCATTGAGGCGACAAATTCAGATTCGAGCCGGATAAGCATACTAACCACGTAAACTGTTCCTTATAAAAAAATTCTCAATTACCAAGTTCTCTACTTTTTCTAACATGTAATTCACGCTAAGGATTAAAAGGAATTGTTATCATGTTTAACATCCTAACTTAGGCATCACCAAGTGACATACTTTCTTGATTTTCCAATTGTGAACTTCATTTCTTAATCTAATTTCTCCTCAAGTAACAGCTTCAAAGTTATTAGAGATTTGAAGTCAATAATTTTTTTCATGAGGATATTGGTGATTTGAGAAATAATTCAAGAGATTTATAAATAATAAAAAAATAAAAATAGAAAAGATCAGCCCGGTGCACAAGACATCTTGCGTTCATTCATGGTCGGGGAAAGGATCACACCTAAAAGAGTAAAATGATTTGAAGATATAATATATAATTCTCACTCACAAATCCCATATTTATACAAACTCTTTTTTCAAGTCAGTATCATGTTCATATACATTCAGTATTTCCAAAAATTAATCTTTTTCAACTTCAACTTCAAACCAAATATTGTCAAACGCCTAATAATATCCTTTAATTAGAGCACAAATATGCAAAACCTAGAGAACGGCTCAAACTAGTAAAAGAAAGAGCATCTTGCATTCACGCAGAGTTTGGGGAAGAGTCGCACCTCAAGGGAATGATATAGATAGTGGCTGCTTCCACAACTCGACCCCATAACTCACACGAAAACGCTTCAAACTAGTACAACTCTCTACATTTCCCTTCTTTTTTAACAAGCCTGCTTGAACCCCATGTACTTTCCACTTGTGTAATCCCTCCAAACATCTACAGCTCCAAAACTTGTTATAAGAACAGTACTTAAAGCCATGACTATGCCAACAGAGAATACAATAAGTGATGCTCTCCCATGATGTTCTATAGCTCTTTGCACCACAACCAATCCAATAAGTGAAGCAATTAAACAAATGACTGCAAAAATTAGGGCAGTATTGACATGTTCCATGCCTAGAAATAGGTATTGTACAGCTGACATGGTAGATGAGAAAAATACCATGAATGAACAAGTTGCAGCTGTTACCTATTAGAAAAGAAAATCATTAGTCCTATAAGGGAAAAAAAGAATAGCATTGTATTGTGTTTGGTATGACTGAATTCATTTTTTCAAAAAAAGTATTTTTAACGAAACATGTTTTTTGATGTTTAGCTGGCAGCCCCGTGCACTAAGCTCTCGCAATGCGTGGGGTCTTGGGAAGGTCCGAACCACGAGAGCAGTGGCGGAGGCAGAATCTCCACGAAAGGGGTTAAAAAATATTGTAGCTAGTGGGAATTGAACCTATAACCTTATGAGGTTTTGAACCCCCTTAACCACTAAACTACAATATTGGATTATGTTAAGGGGGTTCAAAACTTAATACATAAAGGTAAAAATCAGATTTTCCCTTATATATACAGTGTAATTTTTCGGCAAAGGGGGTTCGAGTGAACCCCATTCCGCCCCCTAAATCCGCCTCTGTACGAGAGTCCATTGTACGCAGTCTTACCCTGCATTTCTACAAGAGACTGTTTCTATGGCTCGAACTCGTGACCTCCTGGCCACATGGTAATAACTTTACCAGTTACGCCAAGCAGTGACAGAGCCAGAATTTCCATTAAGGGTTGCCAAAATATATAAAAGTAAATATACTAGAAAATTAAGGGGAGTCAATATATAGTATATATACATATAATTTCTTTTAAACCTACCTACACAATGTATTTTTCCCGCGAAGGGGTATCATTATAAGGTGGCTCCGCCACTGACGCCGAGGCTTCACTTCGCTTTCTGATATTTAGTTGATGAGTAAAAAATATTTTTTGGAAAAGTATATATTAAAAATTGTAGACTAAATCATTTGAGCAAATCCGAGGGCATATTAATAAAATTTTTGAGTACCAAAGATTAATATTAATATCTAAGTGTTAGTTAGAACAAGTAACGTGAAATTAAAAATAGGATATAGTAAGGAAGATGACTTCCACCCTAAGTGAGGGCAGTCATTTTCCTACTTTGCCATGGAAAATGAATTTCTTCATCAAAAATATTTCGGTGAAAACAGACCTCCGTCGTACCAAATACACCTTAATGTTAATTTAGGGGAGACTTTAAAATGGAAATAACAAAAATAGAAGAGCAATAGTTGGTGGGAAGATTTACCTCAGGTGCAATTCCAACTTGAATCAGAAGGGGGCTTATAAGCATTCCACCACCAATTCCAAATACACCACCCAAAACCCCTGCTAACAGTGCCATTAAGGGGAATATTAACATTCCCGAAGATCCATTCATAGTTTCACAAGCTGCTACTTCCTTCATAATAAGGCAATTTAAATGTTAATCAATAAATTAAGCAAATAAAATTGCAAGAAGTTAATTTCCAATATACTCTCTGTCTTAAATTATTTGTCGTGTTTCTCTTTTGCACGACCCTTAAAAAGATTTAATAGGAAGGGTTTTAGACCGTTTTACCCTTATTTATGTCTTATGATATGATTCCTCTTTATTAAGTATTTACTCTACTTATGTGCTATCTCCATTTTGAAGAGCAATTACTATTAATAGTAAAATAGAAAAAATATAATTTATTCTATCTTGAACTTCGAAAATGATAAATAATTTGAGACAAGTATTTTTAGTAATCACAACAGATAATATGAGATGGAAGGAGTATATAAAAGGATAGCCCCATAAACAAAATATTTTGCGTTCACGCAGGGTCCGGGGAAGGGCTGCATCACAAGGGGTGTGATGTAGACAGCCTACCCTAATGCCAACATTAGTGATTGCTTCCACTGCTCGAACTCGTGACCTATAGGTTATAATGATAACTGTATCATTGCTCCAATGCTCTCCTTCAACTTCCTATATATATTAGGTAGGAAACGAGAATATTTTTTAAATACCTGCTTCTTGGAATTCTGCTTACTGTCACTGTTATATAAGATCCATGATGTAAAAATTATTGCTAGAGGAAATTGAACTGATGAGATGATCCAGTATCCCAACCCACATACCTCCATCTGAATTATGCCCTGCAAAATATTACAATTGTTTTTACAACACCGTAAAAAATTTCATATTTTCAATTTAATCAGGTTATTAATTTCTCCGCGCAAAATATTTTTTACACACTTTCAATGATAAAAGTTACTCTCTCTGTCCCAATTTATGCCAGAGGGTTCAGGGTACGAGGACTAAAGTATCTAATTTACGGTGTGAATTCTTCAAGTTTTTTTTTTTTTTTTAAAATAAAGTTTATATGCATACTTGAAAAATATATGAAAGTGCTATAAGTCGGCATAGTTAATAATAATTCATATTATTCAAAGAGTTTGAGAAAATCGTAATTAAAAAAAAAACTGTTTGACTTCTCTAATAATAACAAATGTACATAAAATGAGACGGATGGAGTATTTCATATCTGACTCTTCACTTTCTTTGTCTATCTTTGGCTCTTAACATAAATTAGCTAGAATTTGAGCACTACTAATAAGAGAACACCTAAGTTCCAAACCAAGTTCTGTTCCCATTTATTAATTAATGAAAGTGAAATGTACTCTTCTTAATAAATAATTACATACTATCTCTTAGCCTTTCGGGTAAGAAAAAGACAATTTAATTCGAGTTAAATATGTGACTTTAATATTGAGAAAGAAACAAGCTTGGTTTAAGATAGTAAAATGACACTTCCACTTTTTGCCCAACTAAGGCACCAACTCCAGTCTGTCAAATGGCAAAATACAATATTGGCCGGAAATCATCGAAAAATAATTATAAAAAATATAAAGGAGACACAAAAAAATTATAACTACTAACAACTAGAATTAAAGGTGATTAGAAGAAATTAATTAACCTAGCTTTGCAAGGAATTTGAGATACAGGCAACCTGGTCATGAATACAAACTAAAAAAAGGGCGGCTCGATGTATGAGACATCTTGCGTTCATGTAGGATCCATGAAAAGACCATACCTCAAGGGACGTGATATAAATAACGTATCCTAATACAAGTATTAGTATGCATACAAACTCTGGAAATAATTTCAAAGTTTGAAAAATCTGCAATAAATTCACGTCTCATTCAATCTTACTCACACGACTCACAAATAGTATGAAGAGTCCAAATCAACTTTAAGAAAAGGGAAAATATTAAAGTAAAAGCAAGTGCATGAAGACAAGATAAAGAGACATACTTGTCCATGTCGATTTCTTCGTGGAAGATATTGGGAAAAAAAGAAAGAAAGAAGGGAAATCAAATACATCAGAAAGTAATTTTAAACTACAGTCAAAAGTAGAGTTTCCGAAAAAATTAGAGGTGTAATTCATCAAATTCACACTGAAGCTTTGTTAAAGTCAAGAACAAGTACGAAACTATTTGCTAATAGCAAAGATATGAATAATCCCAAATTATAATGGATGATAAAATGAAACCATTTTATCTAGTAGGGCAGTCCAGTGCACTAAGCATCCCGCATTTACATAGGGTTCGGAAAAGAACCACAACCCTGAGGGGTGTCATGTAGGAAATCTACCCTGATGCAAGCATTAGTGACTGATTCTACGGCTCGAACACGTAACATATAGGTCACACGGAAATAATTCTAATGTTGCTCCAAGGCTCGACTTCAAACTATTTCATCTATTAGGACAGTACTACGCAGGAAGCATCTCACGTTTACGCTAGATCCGAGAAAGAGCCGCAACCTTGAGAGATATGATATAGGCAACCTACTTTGATGCAATTGCATCAGTGACTGACTCCACGACTCGAATTCGTAAAGTATAGGTTACATGAAAACAATTTTACTGTTGCTCTAAGGCTCCCCTTCGAACTATTTCATCTAGTAAAATGATAAATTTTAAAAGTAAGTGAAGATAAAGAGACATACTTGTCCATATCGATTTCCACGAAGAAGATAGAGGAAAAAGAAGGAAAACCAAATCATAACAAGTACCCCCATTTTCATCCAAGGAATACTCCTTATTCCCTTTGCTTCCTTTTTCAACAACAAAGGTTCTTCTACACCATTAATAACTCCTTCAATTCCTTCAAAATTCTCATTTTTAAGCAATCCATTTCTTCTCACTTCTTCAGACTCAATTTTCCAATAATAAACTCCTGATTTGAATGTTTTGAATGTGCACCAAACAAGAAAGACTACAAATAATATAGTGATAAGCCATTCTGGTAGGACAAGATTGCAAATTACTCCAATACTAACTCCCAAAAGAATGCATGGTTGTGAGAGTAAAGCTATGTCAAAATCAACCAAGATTTTCCCTCCGTGTTTGGGACTTGGTAAAAACATACTGCAAACAACGTTAGCGATCGAGCCTCCTGTTACCTGTCGAAACATAATATAATTAAGTAATTAAAAATATGTTCTCTATGATAACACACTTCAACGTTGTATTAAAATATGAATGAGGCCATGTATGATTAAATCTTAATCCAAAATCAAAATCCGGCTCACACAGGAGGGGATGGTGAGGCATAATAATATACTACTAAATAGTTTTTTTTTTTATTTTAAAAAAAAGGTAGCCCTGTACCACACAAATCATCCTGTGCAGGATCAGGAGAAGGGTCGCACCCTAAGAGGACGTAATGTCGGTAACCTACCATGATGCAAGCATCAGTGACTGATTCCACAACTTGAACTTGTTATCTACAGGTCACACAGAGACAACTTTACCGTTGCTCCAACTGCTAAATAGTAAACACTGTATAGTTTTTCTAATTTTTTAAAACTTTTATATAAAATGATCTCACACTTTAACATAATATTACATCAAGCAAGGGCTACTGCATTCAAATATCACTACTAACCAAAAAAGAAAAAATCAGGCACGCAGGTGTGAGTGTTGAGACATAATAAAATTAAATAATTAAAAGAGTATTGTCTAACAAACTAAAATTTTAAACGAGATGATCACACAGTTCAACATTACCATAAATGCGGAAAAGCTTGAGGCTGTTTTGAGGTCAACCCCAGTAACAATGGTTAGAATAGGTATGTATAATCCTCCACCTCCAATTCCACCTGCACTAGAGATAGAAGCTGCTATAAAACACAAAGCTCCTGCTATCACAGTGGGTGCGCCAAGTTTCAGATTATTGGTATCTACTTGTTTCTGCTGTTGAATTCTCCATTCATAAACTGAATTCAAGAAGTGATCAAATTTGAGGATTTTTGAGGTTGGTTTTGTTTGTTTTGCAAAGGAAAATCCAAAGGTGGTTAAAATAACAAGGAAAAACACACATATCAGGTAGTTGTTGTGACTATTCATTTTCTTGAAAGTTTAGATACAGTGTGCTTTTGGAGAGGATACATATATATAAGATGATAAGTGTCAGAAGGAGGAAGCAAAATGCTTTTAACTAAAACTTTATGACGGAAAAGTACAAATACAAAACATACAGAAGAAAGGAGATTGGATTTTTAAACTCTAATTATCCATTAAGTTTGAGAGTAAGTCTATTATTGTACTTATTATATAACCTTGACCACATATATAATATATTCTCCTGAGCTTACGAAAGTTGAGCATTTTTGGTACAATTGATGGAACTCTCAATTGGGGGGGGGNATATATAGTTTATACATGTGCTTATTATATAACCTTGAATATTCTCCTAAGTTTACAAAAGTTGAGCATTTTTGGTCCAACCGCTAGAACTCTCAAGTATTCCTTTAGTTTTAATTGTATAATTTGTCACCTTATAATTACAATAGTCTCTTATGGTTCAGCCTTTTCCCGAACCTCGCTTACAGCGGAAGCTTAGTGCACCGGGCTACCTTTTGGACCAGAAGAGCTTATTTTTGCAAATTTAAAGGTTCATATATGCCCAATATAATGCAGTACAGACGAAAATAGTCCTACCTTCAAATTTAAGGTACCATTGGAGTTAAGATGCACTAGAATATATTTATTGTCATCGTCTTTCTTTCAACCATTTTTCACGTCAACATCCAACCATGTTTGCTTGACAGTGGGAGGCAACTGGCAAGCGTTGTTGCCTTTCGGAATTTTTTTTTTTCAATAAATGTGGAGGTTATCTCCGGTCAGCATAGGTATCGGCAGTGGAAAAAGCAAAATTTTCACGAAAGGGATTTTGTGGGCGAAGGGGGATCTCCTTCTGCCCAAGTAGCTCTGCCCCAGTAAATTTGTCTGTCAAGATTTGGACGAATGAAAAAAAATCCCTAAGTATTTTTGCCTTTATTGAATTTTAAACTTGAAATCTCATGATTTTCATTGACTGGAATTCGAGTTTTTGGATATATATTTAATGATTTGTTCACGTCTAGTCTAATAGTCACTAATTATGATTATTTAAATGAAGAAGGGGTCAATAGATGAATTGAACTGGGCAAACTAATGTTAAAACTATATGTAACATTATCTTGATGTCAAATCGCAAGCCTGAAAAAATAAATATATATACAAGCTTAATAATTCAAAAGAACTTGGCAAGATATTGAACCAATCGTATTTCCTTAAATGAATTTAGACTCATATTTCCTTAACTGAATTTAGACTAAAAAGCTATAAATATACAAGCTGAATAATTGAAAAGAACTTGTAAGACATTGAACCAATCATATTAATTTCTTTAATCGAATTTGAGATTAAAAGTCATTATCTATATATTCGCACAAACGAAGGGACAGTTTGTTTTGGTTTGGGGGGAGGGGGGTAGAACGTGTATATGGATATACACTACTAGAAAATTGTAAATATCCGACTGAAAAATATTGTCGGAATTTTAAAAAAATATCAACTATATATTTTTTAAAAAAATTCGACCATATTTCGGACCAAATCGGTCGCAACTTTTGGCGCAAAAGCTAGTTTGACTCGTTTGACTTCAATTCAGACCAATTCTGTCGGTAATTTTTTTTTTAAAAAAATTATTTAAAATGACAATTCCGACCGAATCGGTCAGAATTATTTTCTAAAACCCTACCCGACCCTCGTTCCCCAAAAACAGAAACATTTCTTTTCTTCCTCCTTCTTATCTCATCCTCCTCCTCTCTCCCTCTCGTCCTTCTTCACCATACTCCTCATTATAGGTAATGTATTTTCGCTCTCTCTCTCTCTCTCTCTCTCTCTCTCTCTCTCTCTCTCTCTCTCTCGTTTCCTCCTCCCTTCTCTCTCTCTNGTCAGAATTATTTTCTAAAACCCTACCCGACCCTCGTTCCCCAAAAACAGAAACATTTCTTTTCTTCCTCCTTCTTATCTCATCCTCCTCCTCTCTCCCTCTCGTCCTTCTTCACCATACTCCTCATTATAGGTAATGTATTTTCGCTCTCTCTCTCTCTCTCTCTCTCTCTCTCTCTCTCTCTCTCTCTCTCTCGTTTCCTCCTCCCTTCTCCCTCTCTTTCCTCCTCCTTTTCCCTCTTAATTTTTCAACTTTTTTTGTCCGTTTTCAATGATGGCTCTGCGGCGGCAATAGCACATTTCTTCTCCGGTATTTTTTCCGTCGAGGTAAGTACTTTGTTGACATATATATCTTGTTTTCATTGTTAAATTTATAGTAACTTTCTATATATGAACATTCTAGCTAGTTGAATTAGGTATGGTTGAAATTTTAAGGATTTTAATTTTTTAATGATACTTAATATAAAACAAAAAAGAGAGAACAATATCTGATGTTCCTATAGGGATTTTGTTTTACGAAATTCTTTTGTCACCATTATTAGGTAAATTAGATTGTCCAATTTGTGCTAAAAACCAATGTCATAAATAGTCACTTAATTTTTGGGTTAAACAAGAATATATTAAGAAATTCTAAATCTAATTTTAGTAATTGATTAACTTATTTTTGAAATAAAAAAGGTGACACATTGGCATAAAGTAATTGAGAAAACAACGATAGAAAAGAAGGAAAACGAACTTTCACTTTCACTTTCAACGATAATTATATCAACTAGTTATATTTAAAGCTTTGGTGAAAAGTTTGTTGTACTAGGTTCATTGTTGCTTGTTAGTTTTATTATTAGAATGATATTAAATTTAAATTTTTCCAATTTCAACATTAAGATTAATTTGTAAATTTGAAAAATCATTAGTTAATTTGGATTATATGAACATTTAAGAAGCTATTCAAATTTAATTATTATAGTCAAAGACTTATATTATTTAGAATAGGGATTAATGTGAGATTTTTAGTGTTAAAACATATTAATATAAAAAATAAATATATCAATTAAAGTGCTTTGACACAATGATACGTATATATCTAAAACGAACCTTTGAACGAGTATAACTTTGTAACCAGTTTAAATAAATTAAATTATTTTAAATATCTCATTAATATATTTCTATTTGTGTAGATTGAATTTGTGCATCATAGATGGATGTATAATAGGAATCATCCTAATCGTGCGGGGTTGAGGGATAAATTTATTGAAGGGGTTGCTGAATTAATTGCTAAGGCTCATACACTTGATGATTTTCTTATTGGCGGAAGGATTAGGTGCCCTTATCTAAAATGTAAGTGTGTTAAGTTATTGAAAACAGACGAAGTTAAAGTTCATCTCTAAAAGAAAGGGTTTGTAATATTATATATGGACTGTTCATGGGGAGAATCATTCTAGTTTAGATGAAGTTAACTTTCATAATTATTTTGGTGGTGAAGGTAGCCCCATTGCGGAGCATAATGTTGAAAATTCTCGATACAATGAAATGATGAGGGATGTTTTTGAGATGTTTCCTGGGAGTTCAATCCGAACCAATAATGAGGCTAAGCGTTTCTATGAACAGTTAGAGGAATCTAGTCGTCCATTGTATGAAGGCTCGGTGCATTCCAAGTTGTCTGTAGCCGTTAGGTTGCTGAGTATTAAATCGAATAGTTCTATTTTTCAAGCGGGCATGGATTCTATTATTGGACTTATGAATAAACTTAATCAGAGTAACATTGACTTACCAAAAGACTTCTACATTGCTAAGAAATTGGTTTCTAAGTTGGGTCGTTCATCAGAGAGAATTTATTATTGTGAGAAAAGTTGCATGTTATTCTATAAGTATGACGCGTCTCTAGAAAACTGTAAATTTTGTAATCAACCCCGTTTTAAGGAAGTCACAAATGCCAATACAAAAAAGAAAGTTCCAGTTAAAGTGATGCATTACTTACCTCTTATACCTAGGTTAAAGAGGTTGTATGCATCAATGAGCTCTGCTCCTCATATGAGACGACATTATGAACATAGAAGGCCACCCGGTATTCTATGCTATCCATCAGATGGAGAAGCGTGGAAGCATTTGATAGGGTGTTCCCCGAGTTTACTAGTGAACCAAGAAATATTAGGTTGTGATTATGCAGAGATGATTGGTATAGCTTGGGGACCTGACCCTACAGTCAAAATGATGTCTAAATACTTGGTCAATGGGTACAAGTTTCATACAGAAGAATAGTATAATAGAAAGAAAACCAACAATAGTGGGGTGTGGGTGAAAGCTGATGGAGATGTTGATTATTATGGTGTGCTTCAAGAGATTTTAGAATTGGAGTATACTGTAGGTTGACCGAAGAAAAAGTTGGTACTCTTTCGATGTAAATGGTATGATCCAACACCGAATAAAGGCACAAAGGTGCACCCTCGATACAAAATAGTTGAAATTAAACACACGGAGTAGTATAAACTTTATGATCCTTTTATCATTGCACAAAAGGTGAAATAAGTGTATTATGCTCCTTATTCTTTGAGCAAGAATAAGTCTTCATGAAGGGTAGTTTTAAAAACAAAGCCCGTGGGTAAGAAGGTTCTTATACTATTTTTTAAGTTTTGAATGTACTTTTAGAAATGTTAACATTAAGGAATATTTATTTATAATTAAAACTTTTGAAACTTCAAGATATTTATTAATTATGTATGTTAACTTTAATGCAGGTTTTTGCCATCCTTTCAGTCTACATATTTGGTTGTGGATTAAATGAAGCCATTTTATCATGAGCCATGGAATTCTTGGAGAAAGATACCGTACAACATCAGAGAGCAAATATGGAATCAATTTAGGGTAAAAATTGATTATATTTATTTAATAATTATCATCTTCATCTAATGTTACTTTTTTATATTGCAGACAAAGTGTACATGGCATCCTCAACATCAAAATGAAATAAATAATATTTTCGAGAAGAAGGCTGCTAAGCGGATTAAAGATACTCTGTTCGCTGCTTGGAATGCTGGTAAAATGCCTGGGTAGTTAAGAGAAGAAGTTTGGGATAAACTTGTTGCAAAATAGAATACCGAAGAATAAAAGAAGAAGAGTGAACAAGCAAAGGCAAACCATGCCTCCAGTAAAGGTGGCTCGTTGCATACAGGAGGTTCGATTAGTTTTGCGACCCATAAACAAAGATTGGTAATTACTTATAAAATTCTTTTTAGTTTTATATATAAAATTTTATGATTTTAATGTCTAACTCATACTTTTTGTTATGAAGGAAACGAAAATAG